ACACGCACACACACACACACTTACACTTACACTTACACATACTTACACACACACACACACACACACACACACGCACACACTTACTTTTACTTGTTGTTGTCAGGACTTCACGTTTCCGCGGCCGTGCCCTGCAGTCCGTCGGGCACTCCGGGAGGCGGGCAGAAGCCATGTGTGTGCCAGAGCAATGGTGCTGCTGGCAAGGGAACAGAATTCGAAGGCGGTCCTGGCGCTAGAGGGGCTTGGCCATGAGGTAGTGCCTTTCGAGCCACACAGCCCTTGCCTCAGTCGCACTTAGTTGGACAGGGGCTCCCACGTCGAGCAGTTTGCTCACAAGGTGATGGCGTTGTGACGCGAGAAATGTATTGGGACCTCAACACTTCCTTCTACATTTCTGCCGGCCCGTACGTGGACAGCGAGTGTGTCAGAGTGTATGTTCGTGGGCAGGGGAGGTTAAGGTCGAGGCAGATGAGAGGCAAGAACTGGCAAATGACTTTGTGAGACTCACTTCTGAAGGACCAGGCATCTTCTGCAAGCGTGTCTCCGAAGCAGAGAGAGGAGAGGTCTGACGATATTATCCGTAGGATGGTCATGCCTCCGCGCCCCTGCTGAATTCATTGCTTCGGGGAGGCTTTTGAAATTTGAAATCAGCAGCCGCCCGTAGGTGCCCTTTCGCATCCTGCTCTTTCCGAGGTGGACAGATCAGGATGAGCCCATACACCCTGATGTAGCTGCGAATGCTACAGGCCTGCGTTTTGGACACATGGGTGATCATTCAATTCGGTGTCGCTGTCTGTGTTTGCGTGTATTTGTGTGCGCGTGCTGATATCATCCGCAATCCGACGTGAGGACCTTACGAGAAGTGGGCCAGCAAGGACATACAGCATGCCGGGGCGCTCGGTGGCAGCTGCCTGGGATATGAAAGGATCATGCAAAGACGTGACTCGGCTGGCAAAATCATTGGGTGTGCTCCAAAGTTCCTGGGGAAATAGGTCTGAGCCAGCTTGGCTCAGAGCTTACGAACAGGCTGACGGGTGTTTCAACCTGAAGCCCTCTTCGGTCCTAGAGACAACATCTCAATCACATCTCGATAAGAAATATCGAGTTCGAGTTTGCAGTGCTTTAGCCTGCTCTGACCAGCGAAACTCAAAGCGACGAATGTCGTCTTTTGATGCCGTTACGGTTTTGTTGCCTGCGTCGCTACTGGAGTGCCAGCTCCTCCTCATTTCGGACAGTCTTGATTTGTAATGGGGTGTGTGTTCTTTGTGTCTTCTTGCTGTTGTTGCTTCTGTCGTGGTCGGTGCGGTTGTTGCTGTTGCAGCTGTGGAAATTGGGTCAGAGCGCAAGGTAGGCGGTTGTGTCTTCCAACCTGTTCGTCTCTGTGTGCATGCTTCGCACGTTGTTGCTCAGCTGTGTTTTCGTTTACGTCGGAATGTGTTGTTTTGTCCCTGTCGCTCTGTGTTTGCTCTAGAACCCCTAGGACTCTAGGAGTCATTCTCTAGGATTGCACAGATATTTGATATTTCCCATTCTTATGCTTCTCGCTTGACCATTGCATTTGCATGTCGTACTGGTGTTGTCCTTGTGTTGTTTTGTCAATGACTTTCAGTCGATGTGAAATCGTGTTGTTCCTCTAAAGGCGACAATTTTGCGGAGCAGCGCCATATTGAGCAATTAAAGTTCTCTTCGCCTGCTCTTGTCTTGCCAATGGACTTCGTCTCGTGGAGATTCATGTCCGTGTCTTGTTAGCGCGTGCCAAGCATTAAGTTTCAGTGGAGCTTTCTGATTCTTCTTCAACACTGAATACGCGATTGTCGATCTATGAAGCAATGAAGTTTCCTTTTCCGTGCTTTGAAATACTGCATGTTGCCAACACAACATGCTAGAAGTGCAATCTCCGCAGTTGGTTGAAGTCTACATCCAAACGCTTGTGCTTCAGACTTCCAGTAGCCAACATGCCTCTGTATTAGTCTGTATCTATCAGGCTGTCGCACCGGAAGCTAACATGGACATGAGTGCTCACATATGAGTTAGGACTGTGCGCACCACTCCCTCTCAAACTTGCTGTTAAGAACATCTGGCTGGAACTCATTTGCAGAATTTAATCCAAGGAAATGTTCGTGCATCTGTTGCGCACTCAACATAAGTTTGTGTTGTTTGTGTTGTTCCTGCTGGTCATCTTGATAACTTGATAGACGGGTAGTATCAATTTCAACAATGCTTTGGCACGAAAAACGCAATGTATCGACATGAACTGACAACATTAAAACTTAAGACCGTGTACAAAGAAAACCTGATAGGCAAATACTGAAAGAGCTGAATGATGCCTTTGTCAGGAGCAGCACCAGCAGCAGTAGCAGTAGCAGTATGAAGATGCCCAAGGCCCTTCCTTTATGTAAAGATGCAGGAGTGGAGCTCTTTGTTTTGTTCTCGCATTAAGCGGATGTGGCTCCAAAGAAGCCAACGAAGTTGCATACATGCATTGGCAAAAGCCAAGACACAGTAGCCTTTCAAGGCAAGCTTCTGATGTGCACAGAAGCTCTGACGCAACCAAGGTGTCGTTGTGCCGAAAAGGTGAAGCTTTGTTGTGATTGCGCCGTGTCCCTTCCAGCTGTAAGACTTGAAGCAGAAGCCATAGATTCTGTGTTGAGAAGACGTCGCTACAGCCTTAAAGGGGGTTCTGTTCATTGACAGGTTATGAGCGCCCAACCGTTCTGGATGCAGAAACAGCTGGGCCACAGTATGGTGCAGTACAATCGCAACAAGGGGGTCAGGCAGCAGAGCCCGATCAGGAGGCAAGGCAAGCCGTGGGAGACCAGAACTTGCTGAACATTGTTGATCCTCGAAGGACCGGAGCTGCTCGCGAAGAACCGCTGAGGGCGGGACCGCGGGTAGCTGAACAGTCCCAAGAGGGTAATAACCGGTTGGAGGAGCTGGAGACCGTACGAACAGCTGAGCAGGAGCGAACCGTGATGATGACAGAGGTCCAAGAACTTCCTGGTCGTGGCAATGCCGTAAGCCCTGATGCAGGCCAAGCGCACGAGGCCGAACGTACAGTGGTCGTGGAGTACGCATACGAAGCAGCGCAGCCAGGCCAACCCGGGATACGGTGCATCGCGAGACTTACGGAGTTTTTGCGGTCAACGACTATGAGGGCTTCAGGGTAGGGTGTTGGAAGGTTTTGGGTTAAAGACAACCCAGACGCCACACAGTCCAACACAACCCAATCAGCAGTACCTCACTTCACCTCAGCAGCAACAGCAAATGCAGCGGCCCCAGCAGTTGGCTATGTTGTCACCGATGAAGGCGGCAAGAACACGTGGAGTACAACAACTGTATGCGACAAGCGACTTGCCGGCATCGCCGCCTCCACAGGAGCCTCAAGGGTGGGTGCTTCCACCGCCGCCGCCTTCACCGCAGGGGGCCCGAATCATGGATGTTGTTTTCGCCAGATCAGTCAGAACGGCTTCGACAGCATCCCAGACAGGCTCCTCTCCTTTACCACGCTGCAGAGTCGACTTCATCTTCCGAGATGCAAGCGGAAGTCAGTCAACAGGCAGTTCTACCACTACGTGAGACAGTATGAGGGAGAAGCGGAGGGACTACGAGTGCAAGTTCAAAGGTTGATGAGGGAAAGGGAGGAGCTGCTAGCTGCACAAGCACGCAAGAATCCACCACCTGGTGATTGGTCGTACAGTCAACAAGAGACTATACCACCTGGTGAGCGGGCGTACCATCAACAAGAGAATCTACCACCTGGTGATCGGGCGTACAGTCAACAAGAGGATCTACCACCTGGTGATCGGGCTTACAGTCAGCAGCCAGATGAACTGCCCAGTCGAGGGGAGTAGTAGTAGTAGTAGTAGTAGCAGAAGCAGCAGCAGCAGCAGCAGGAGTAGTAGTAGTAGTAGTAGTAGTAGCAGTAGCAGTGTCAGTGTCAGTGTCAGTGTCAGTGTCAGTATCAGTATCAGTA